TAGGACCGGTGGCACAGACTTATTCCTCATCTTAGACACAAAAGACTATCTCTCTTGATTGTTCTTCGTTCAAACTAAGCTTAGGATATCCAATTTTCTTAATAAGATTATAAATTTCCAGACCATGGATATTACGAATTTCCTGGAATAATTTGAGCTCTGAGTCCCCTGAAGGAGATATCGCTTACACAAAGAAACGTTCAAGAAAATCCTATTTATGTTCGCTAAACACGTGGGGATTATCTTAAGTAATTGTATAAACGTAGCTAAGTTAAAAAGATAACTCCCGATACAAGTGCACAACGCTACAGATCACCGCATCTACAAGTTTATGTAGAAAAAGATTTCTAGAAATCTTAAGAATGACTGGTAAAGTAAAATATTGAGGACTTAACACCTAATTCAGTTATTGTCTAGTGATCCATACGCTTTCAATGTCTGTTTCAACAAATGAGGTTGTACCTCACTCGAATTCACTACATAGACCTAGTGAGTGAGTGTATAAAATTTCTGCTTCCTAAGAATTCTGCATTCCGCTTAAAATTTATATTCACTTGATGTGTTTTTCTATGGCTGTAGGCACTGGTTGCTTTTGTTAACTGAATGGAAATGTATTGGAAATGCTGACTTCGAAACATCTCTTTTCTCTTCATTTTGAACTCCCTATAAGTGCATACCAGTGGTATTATTGAGAATTAAATCAAAGTCATTTGGTATTAATACAGTCACTAATCAATATTTCTTGAGTAAGTATTTAAATTTATAGAGTCGTAAACAATACTTTAGAATGGAAAACCTTCGACTGATCCTTGGTTAGTTGTCTCAATGATGTCCAACCTTTAAAGGCCGTGAGACATTTGCTACTTTAATAGACAGAAGACAAGTATTCAAGTGTTGGTTTGTAGGGATTTGATTGGTTTCAGGATTTCAACATGAGCTGACATCAGTTAGAGAACCATTGGAAAACCTGGGAGTACTGAATAGCTGTTTCGTCCTAATTTGAAACTCTTCATCGGTACGCAGCCATTGGATCGGGTCCCAGTGGCTTAATGGTATACGAGCTTGCCTTGTAACCAGAAGGTCCTGGGTTCGAATCCCGGTGGGTGCGTACTGCTGAAGAGTCCCAAACTAGGATGAAACAGCTGTCCAGTACTCCCAGGTTTTCCAATGGTTCTCTAACTAACGTCAGCTCATGATGAAATCCAGAAGACAAGTAGTTCAGTGAAGGGTCTCTTTTCGACGGCGAATTCATTTTCATAGCTGTACAATCGCAAATATATATGGTTGTTTTGTATGCGTGTGTACATTAAATTTGTCAAACGAAAATACAATTAGTAAGTTCAAATGAATTGGATGTTGATATAAGAGGGTAGTAACAAAAGTGATGAGTTGTCACAAGCGATTCTTAAAAAAGAGTTACGTAATATAACGAAATTACAATTATTAAGTTCAGGTGAATTGGATGTTGATATAAGAGGGTAGTAACAAAAGTGATGAGTTGTCACAAACGATTGTTAAAGAAGGGTTACGTAATAACATGAATCGTTTGGTGAAAGAGTTGTACTCAGGGTCTACATGGAAACAAAATATACGGAATTACGCAAGAGTTTTAAGTAGTTAGAAAAATAAGCATACAAACAAAAGTTAAGTCAAATCACCAGAGTTGTTACCATGAGAGTAGAAGTGGTTGAATAATTTTCTTTTGTATGCACAGTTCTGCTTCCTCCAACTGAATGGCTAGGGCTTCTGCGATGCGAAGAAGACGGAATCGTACTGTCTTTGGGAGGTTGTTCTTCACTTTGTAGATCACTTTGAAGGAGGCGTTTGTTGAGATGGAATGACCAGTGTTGGCGAGGTGTTCGATTATTGCACTCCTTATGCAGCCAATACTTCCTTTCTGCAGCCACGCTGGATTGTGTTCTTTGACCCTTTTTGACAGGATGCGCGTTGAACGACCAATGTGCCTAGTTCCACAGCAACTGGTGAACTGATATATACACATAGAAGTGGTTAGGTGCAGGATCTTGACCTTCGGGCTTCTGCAGATCAGCGGGCGACTAGAGGACACTACTCTCAATGTTGCCGCAAGGAAAGTTCTCCTTAAAGAGGTGGGGATTCCCCTTCTAAGGGCGTCACCTAGTACGTCTCCTTTGAAGTCGAGGTTCATATATAGTATCTTTTTTGACACGAATGCTGTCTCTTGTTTTTGGATTTTTTGTTTGATTTTGTCTACGAATCTTGATGGGTAACCATTTTGTATGAAGGTTTCTTTCAGGAAGTTTAGTACTTCCATGGTATCAGAGCTGCAGATGCATCGGACGCGAGTAGCAAGAAATCCAATTAGGTTTCTTTTTCGACTGAAGCTGGTCAGTTGGCCGTTCCATGTGGGTTTTCCTATGGATGGACCTTCTTAAAGTTCCGTCAGTTCTCTTTGTAAGTTCAGCATCAAGAAAAGGGATTTTAGATTCGTTTTCAATTTCAAGAGAGCATATTGCTACTTGCTTTAAAATCTTGGTAAATGTTTTATACGATTTTTAACTACTTATTTAAGTGTAAGTAGTCTTGCATTTCACCTCTCATTTCATGGTTTATAATCACTTCTCCAAACTAGAATGCAAATATTATATTACTCACACAATTAAAATCAAAATACATAACCATGAAAACTCTAGTTAATGAAACGTTAATTTTGGTCACTATAATAATGCATAATTGGCTGCTAGGAATATTATCATTCGCTTGGGTTCCTAGTTGGATGGGACCTCAGCAGCACTTACCCATTTCTCTCCGTTCTCTGAAGTCCTTTTTGTCTGGATCTACAGTTGTTTATTGGTTTTCAATTTCCGCCTAACATTCTCTGGTCTATGTCATGCACAGGCACCTATCTTGTCGATCATCATTCGGGTTCTACTCGAGGGCCGTAGCATCATGTCACTCAATGGTTTCTTTGGAGTGTATTAAATCCACCTCCATTTCCTTTGGCGCATTTATTGAGCGATAGATTCCCGGTTGGTTCACTGCCAACCGAGTTTGCCACTTTGTTAGCCTGGTCTAACACCGGAAAAAGATGAGAGGTTTCTTCGTGGGGTTAGGGATCATATCCTGGAAAATCAGTTCAGTTGCTACAAAAACTTCAAAGCACACACTGGTAGAAATGAGTACCTGTTAATTTGCAAATTAAAAAGCAGGTTATTGAGATTTTCTCTGACATTGCATTATTGAAAAAACACCCGATCTAAAATGGTGTAGCCTATGAGACCCAAACAATACAAAACTCTCTTTCTGGATTCTACTGCTAGCCGCTATCAAACAAATAACTTCTAGTAATCCTGACTCTTTCTGAAAGGTTATAAAGAGAAAGTTTTTGATGAAGAGGATGCTTGGTATCTGACAAAATGTTTTTAGACAACTGCTTACGAGAATATTCATGTTGCGCACAGAGATCATATTTTCATGGACTAAATTATTGTGAGTTAATTTCACTATACTGATGGAACCTTACAGGAAATGCTACTATTTCGTTTAAATATACCAACTTCCTCAACGATTAATGTTAGCTGACATAGGATTAGATTGGAAAAGAGTCAGGGGTGGTCGAACCAAAACATGGCATCATCAATCTATGAAGTCTTTCACAATTGGTTTGAACCAGACAAAGAAGTTATAGGTTGTCCTTGGGATGCTAAAGTCAGTGGCTTGAAAGTGTTGGTGATATGACTCGAAACCGTTTTCAGTGGCGCAGATGAACTCACTCTTCGTAATACCCCAGGTCTATTAAACCCTAATGTTTTTTTCTATGCTACTATCTTTTCTTCTGTACATTTCTGTTCAGTATGGTTCCTTGGAATATATTTCTTCTCCCTCTCTATTCTCTATTTTTGTGTGCTTCATGCAATGGGACAATTTGAACCGGTACACTTCTCTGTTTGAATGTATAATAAAGACGTATAATCCCTCTTCGGTTTTATTTTTCTCTACTTGCCTGAAATTCTTATGTATGGCTTTACGTTAAGTGAAATTTACTATATGCATATACTTTTCTATGGTTGGTTTGTAAGGATTAGTTTTGTTTTTACGAGTTAATCATATAAACCGAGCCACTCACTTATGAACTACCAGTACTGTGTGACGTCTAGTATGCTATCTACTTATCTATGCATTTTAACTTGCAATCCATCTGTTATCAGTCCTTTTTTTTACATCAATGTATAATTTTACTTTCAATATATTTGAGGATAATGAATACCTGAGAATTAGTGTGTTCAGTTAACCTACTGAATTAATTAAAGTTCCTATTTCCAATAAACCGTAAGCTAATCACATTTGAGCAATTTAGTTCTAAATCAGTATTCGTGTACTGTGATTATCAGAGAGACAGGAATAGATTTCCAATGTTAGTAAATCTATCAGAAAACAACTGTGATACCTTGTTTATCTGTGCTGGTGAAGGTTTTTCTACTTCATGTCAATAAGTTTTACAATTTAAAATCGGTTGTTTCAACGTTATAGATTCCTAATAGAGTAATGAGTACAATTTTGAAAAAATATCTTCTAAAAATGTAACTGAGACACTATAAAGAAATGCATTTTCGGACAGTGTGCCGATAGAAGTAGCTTTTAATCAGTAAAAAAGTTTGAGCATTGTGGATTAGATCAAATATACACAATTGTGTGTAAACTATTGAAATATAATTATATACTTTATTTAATTTTAGTCTGTCTGGCATATAAGGTTGTCAGTTTTAATTAAACAAGACATGTAAATTTCGCGACAGTGGATGAGTTTATTAAGATTTATGCGTCAGCCAATGTATAAAGTTCAATGTTGTTATTTCTATTTCTAACCAATCAGATTATCTCAGGCACACATGTGTTGGTCTTTGTGTGAGACACATATCTCACCAAGGTCACACATCTTTATCTGTCTATATAAAAGGCATGATAATGTTTGTATGAATCACATCGGCCTCAACTCACGCTTTATGTAGTAGGCACGCAGAATGGTGGCGAAAGATTTTATAGACCTCTTTTCGAAGTACAGTCATGGTAATCGGGTTTCAGTTGAGGATTTTGCGGATCGTTTAAATTTATTCACAGTCGTCCTCTTCCTATTAGCAACTATTATTGTTTCAACAAAGCAGTATTTTATGAGTTCAATCTCATGCTATATCCCTGTGAAGCCGACTGGTGACAATTTTAATTCCTATCTTGCTGATTATTGTTGGGTACATGGTACCATACCTTTGAGATCTGATGAAAAATTACCAAATACTCGTGAAGAATGGGATGAATATGATCGTTTAAGACGGATCAGTAAGCTTTTATTTCATTGTTTACAACTTAATGCTTATTTGGTGTATTTTTTGAATCTATTTTATGGTTATGTCCAGTAATATATGTATTCCGCTTTTACCATTAAGGTAGCTCGGATAATTTAATGCTTTAGTTGCCACGTTCTGACCCATTTCATTTTACGCATGGCGTTCGCGTCAATCTACATCCCTTGTTTGACTAAGTCATTTGGTGATATTAACAATCTCCTCATGATCCTAAGATAAGTGAAACTGACACGTAATGATATTGTCAAAAGTTAAAGTATCATAGATACATCATGCCTGCCTCTTTGGACTTGGAGAAGGTGGATATAGCATGTCATTTACTCCCTAGGTACTTTTTCTGTAGATCTATACTGTTAGGTAGGGTTATGGCTTTTTAGATTGTCGTTTAAAGTCTAGGATTAAGGTTAGGACTGTGGTTAGAGTTAGTAGGCTGAATAACAGTGTCAGAAGTATAAATAAATTCTCAGAGTATCTAGAGTCACCTGGACGAATGCATCTGTCGCTCATGGTATGATTCCTCTATAGATCTTTTTAGATTTGTTCATTGAGAACAGAAGGCTTGGAGTCTATGTCAATCATTTTCTAGTAAATTTCTGTGCTTTTCCAAACCGTTCTTAAATGAATCAATTGAGGCTGCAGACACCACATCTTCTGGGAATCGGTTCCTTGGGTTTATGACTTGGTGTGAGAACCAGTACTCTACAGCAATATGGTTCCTCCTTTGCTTTTGAACTCTCTTGCTGTCATCTTAGGTGTTCCGACCTGGTGATTAGAAGGGTAAGAGAAACTAGATCAGGTCTTAGTCATTATTTAAACTTTTAAATATTGTAATTAAATCTCTCTGCCTACGGTATGGTTGGGACAATAGATTTAAACTGTCTAGTCTTTCGTCGTATGATAAATTAGTCGTGCCGGCAATCCTAAGTGTTGCCTTCCTTTGAACTCTTTCTGGAATATGAGTTCCCTTTAAGACAAAGACTGGCTGCTTGGATACAGTTTTCCAGTCTTGATTTCACCAGAGATGTATATCAAGAGGTGAACAGATCTCTGTACGAACTGCCCATAAGGATCCCAAACTACATAGTATGGTAGTTACACTGACAGTTCATAATGTCTATGTGTAATGACTGACATTTTAGTGCATTTCTCAATTATGTGACTTTTCTATCTGAATCTGTAGTTTTGGCTATGACGGTTCAACTTTGCTAAAGATAGAATTCTAGGCTTCTTAAAGAGACAATTTTCCAGATATCAACGAGTTTCCCATTCGTTTTTCAGTGTTTATCATGCTATTTCTGATTGGTATACGCATGCCACGCATCATCATAAATTAATGTTAAGCAGCGTTTCAGTTCCTTCTGCTCATCCTTTGTATTCAAGTAATAACTGTTACAGAATATTCATACACAGCTGATTGCTGTGAGGTATTAGCAGTCTTAAAAACGATTGAGAAGAAATGTATTAGATATTTTCTAGTATTCTAAGGAATCGATCAGTGTTTTAATGGTAATTATTAAGAAGAGAGGTCAATCGGTCACCAGAATAATAACACGTTCCTAAAAGGTTTATATCATGTAGTTATCAAGTCAAAAATATGTGCAAGCCAGATAATTCTTTAAAATGCACGCATAGATTCCAAAAAGCTAGCTAGTTCTTAGTGGTTTTTTAATTTTACGTTGTCAGCACCGATATATTATTGCTGTTTAATTCCCGGCATTTGATGCATTCGAAGCTGAAGCAAGCAAGTGCATTCTTGTGCCTCCTGCGATAGCTATATGAGGTGCTCATCTCTTTCTACTAGTTTAAATCTAACTTGTCTATGGCTTCTTTCAATGTTTGAATTAACTTGCTTAGTTTGGGACTTCTAAACTTATTGAGAGCAACTGATAAAAACATATGGTCCTATGTTATTAGCTTGTTCTGCTGCGCTGGAGTCCTATACTTCAGGTGTAAGACTTTTAATATGCCGGGCAATGGGGCACATATCGTGTAAGGACTGATAATATTACTCCGTCAGTTGCCTAGGTTAATGTAAATGCAGGGGATTTTGAACTTGTGACCCATTGGCTGAAAACTGAGTGCTTAAGCCGGAAGCTGACAATTGCCACGTACATTGGTGTATTATTGTCGTTGTAATTGACACTGAATCCTAGTTACAGCTACTTGAAACCACTTGGAATTGTTTTTCAACCATTGCTTTACCTTACAGTTTTTTCCGCATGATAATTCAGTCAAACACTCGAAGCAGCTCATATAGATAGAGAATGGGAATTCTCAAATTTGAAAACATTTCGATAAGTATTACAGCCTAGACTATGCTGACAATACGTGCTAGTTGAAATATTCATAGCTAATGAAGCTTGACGTGTGATATTATTAATACTTCCAATTTACTTTCATCTAATTACTATAGCGCCCTAGTAAGTTCTACTAGCTTTCAAATAAATATGCGTCATTCATATAAAAGGATGATAGGTAAACCTACACCGTTTCATGGCGCCTACGATTACTATCAACTGTCTGTAATTCATAACTCACTTTTGCTTAAGGCATTCAGTGTATTGGTTGAGAAAAAATACATGCGTGTAGAGGTGGATTATCAATCAATAAAATCGGTCGATTTGTTATTGTCTATATATCTTCTCAGTTGTCGTTGTTGTTTATTAGTTTTCTCTCAAGGTACAACAATAACTAAACAGAGAAAATGCAAATGGATGTGTGCATAATAGTACTTACGATTTGTTTGAATCCATTTTGGTTAGTCCATTATGTTTTCTTTCCTTACAACTATCCCTCTCCCCGCGCCATAGTTCCTAGCCACCACCACCACCACCACCGTGACTTTGTTGTTGAATAAAGGTGGACACTGTAGAAAGCGAACAAGCACTAAATGTGAAACATGTTCTGTTTTAATTAATGTGTGTTGATTCGTTACAATCATTCTACGTGTGTGCTTAACAATATATCGCATATAGGGTGACTAGTTTAGTGTTTTTCTATATATTTTCTCTCTCACTTCCATATCACTTTTCACTCACGTAGACACACTCTAATATCGTATGCAATTCTTTCTATTCATGTGATTGAAGTGTTTTCAATGACGAGAGGGCTGTTACATTATCGCTCAATTATATCACTTATTAAGATTGATTAGCCTAAAGATATTCCTCTGGGGTATTTTTTGTATATGGCGTTTATTGATTTTGCTTTGTGGTCTCGATTCCATATATCCATCTTTATGAATACTGTATAAACTGTAAAACCGTGGCACAGCGGTAGAATGCTCGCCAACCATGCAGGTGGTCCGGTCCCCGGCTGACGCACTCCTTTATTTCGCTGAGCCAGAAGTAAAGCTGGCAAAGAGGAAAGGTTGGGCATGAGGCTAGCAACCCCCCCCATTCCGTAAAAAAGTAGCACTGCTACTGAAACTTCAAGGTTCTAGCTTGAAGCCCTATGTTTTATTGGGAACGTGAAGGAATAGAATCAATAAATGTAATTAATACTGTATAATGGTTTATTTCTTTTTTCGCTTCTTGGTGCTTGGTTGCTTCAGAATCAAAAAGACTTGTCCTCAGCATAATAAAAACCATTAGAAGCCCCTGACAATATGTTTTGTTACTGTCCCAGGTACAAGTGGGTACGAATAATCTGAACTGTTGTGTAAAAAGACAGATTAAGGCTATACATGTCATTGTTCATCCTTAGTTCTCATCAGAATAGTTTATTATTGCTTATTAAGGCATCTGAATTGTGTACAGAACTAGTACTAGCTGTCGAGTCCAACAGAGGAAATAAATATATTGAGCTAATCATGCTAACTATATATAGTGCTCATATACACTAACCAACTTACACTAAAAGTCGTCTTGTTATTATTCTGTCAAATTAAAATTCACAGTATGATAGTCACATTGACAGTTCATAATGTCTCTACCACTTTTTTCAGTTAGTAACAGTGTTTCACTCCTGAAAGAGAATCTTGACGAAGAACACGCTAACAGACAAAGAGGAAATAATGGAACATTTGAGTTAGGTTTTCACAGATTTGTTGACTGACTGACTGACTGTCAAACATGGAACTGCACAGAAGTGCAGCAGTTCAGGTTACCACACTCCGTGTAGTACTTGAAGGTAGAGAAAAGAAATTCAAAAGAACTATAATGATTAAAAATGTACGGGAGAAAGGATAGTATCATGAGAAGAAAACGGAAGTTTAATGAATGTGGGAGACTATATAAAGAGTCTTAATTTGATCACATTGAAAATTTTTGAGTGACAGTACAGAGCGTTTTGCTAAACGATTCAAAGATGCAAGGTTCTGATTTAACTGTGATCTGAACACATTCTAATATACCCTACACTGTCAGTCATTCAGATTTTCATGTTGAACTTCAGGTCGTGTAAGCTCCTGCATCCTTGACTTCACTGTTCGGCTGTTTTTATATCTAACCCTCTATGAGTGGAACCAGGACTGTATCAAATCCTTTTTGTTACTGGATATTCGATCAGTTAAACATTATTGAAGTTTTTGTCGTTATCGGACATTTGTGTAAATCCGTTATGTGATATTTCTCTCGATTGTTTACCTTGGCTCCAAATTTTATTGCTTATTATTTGTGGTGTATAGCCGGATTTTCTGACTCAACTGAAACCGAGGCAGTGTGTCCAATGGGTTAGGGTCCTCCTCTTAGTTGTATCGCATTCTGTATATTTTTTGTTTTAGGATTTTTTAAATTCCTAACCAAATCGGTCGTCGCACGACAATACAAACTGTCTACGTCTAAGTAACTGCAGATCACTGTGACAGTACCTCCGCTTTTTTGGCTTCTTACCAAATTCTACAGTGGTGAAGTCTTTTATCAGTTTGTTTAAGCACTGTAACTTCCAACCAGTAGGTTTCATGCTCAACGTCACCTCCATCTACCGCAATTTCGTCATTCGAATGGTACTGTCAGCTATCAGAGAACGAACGTAGCTCATTGCCATTCATGTAGTTGTCATTCATCTGTCTAACACATTTTACCATGATGACTTGCTTACTTTCATACGTTTAAAATTAATACGAAAGTTTGTTTAGTTTTCACGTTACCTTTCTCATTTTTCTTAACAACATCTAACTGATCAATAAAGTTGATGGGAAGGATTCACACTGTCCGCTTTATGTGATCTAGTTACTCTTTTTGCCAGACTAAAAGATATCTCAGCTAAAAAAACTTGAGTACTTTAAGAAAAATGAAATTTTGTTCATTTATATTTTGGTCAAAATATGTCATCTATAATGTTTATTTTTACTTTCCGCTTATATTCTACAGCCTATTATCAATGGGTACCTTTCGTTCTCGGACTACAGTGTATATTCTTTTACATTCCACATATCGCTTGGCAAGCTGTGTGTGCTAATCGATCAGGCGGAGATCTATTCGCTCTTGTAAAAGCTGCAGCAGATGCAGCCATCTCTGAACGTGGTTCACGTAAAAGTCAGGTGAAACGTGTTGCTGAGTTCTTGGAGGATATGATTGACGGTCACAAAGATTGTCGACATGTAAGTCTGTAAATCCAGTATTTATTTTGGTAGGATTGTTGTAATATCAAAATTTAATTCATTTCACTGATAGTATTTTGAATTATGTCCTCTCTTTAAGCTGTCTATCTTACAGCCTACAGCTATAGGTTAGAATACAGTTTCTCTCTTGTTGAAAGCAGACGAGGTTAATAAAAGGAATGTAAAGATTCAGTGAATAATATATGACCAAATGATGATATGTATCTCTGTAACACAAGTTAGTGATATTGTTCATTTGAACTGAGTTCCGTGGAACAGATTTTTCATGTACCAGGCTAAGTGCCACACTTACCATATGAAGGCCTAAGTCGAGGATGTAGTGGGCCTGAACCTTAAACCTGCCTTGGTAATCCAATTTAGAACCAAGGACCAATTTACTTCATAATATTTTCAACCCCTTCTTTGTCTTGTTTTTCTCCTTTTATCTTTCTTACCCACACCTTTTGCGTCTCCCTACCCATTATTTGTGACCTTGACCTGTATACAAGTTGGCCTGTATGGTAATTATTCATGCCTTCTTGCATTCTATAAGAAATGTGTATGACAAGCACATGTGTGTGATCAGAATGTCCGAAATGTGTTGCGCCAATACATTACACATTTCAGATAAACTGCGTCTTATTGTGTTGTCGAAAGTGATGCTTACAATTTTACTGTCATTAACTCTGCAGGCCAGATGAGTTTATTCTCACTATTTCGTTTGATTGTTTTTCTCACGTGAAGATACAATTCATCAGCTTTAGTTACTGGGTTTCACGTTTGAATTCCACTCCACCTACCTCAGCTCAGACAACTAGGGTTAGTGTCAGCACTAAGGTTGGAGTTATGATTAGGGATAGATTTAGAGCTGATGTCATTTATTTTAATTTGTTTTATTATCCACATTTTTCTAGTAAGTAGTTGTCGATCCTCTTACTGGAAACTGTAGTAATTCGACCGGGGGCTTTTGAGGAAGACTTCACAACGGGATAAGAGAGATAAACGATTCACAAAGGCAGCTCATGTTAAGTGACCTCGGTTAATACATGTACAGAAACTAGTCTAACTCAGCAACTGATACTCCTCATTATAACTGGGACGTATTTTTAAGTCATGTCAGAGAAAGATAGCCTGTTTAATATGTTTTCATGCATTTCCTTGTAAATATACGTCATGTTTTGTGCAAACATCACTTATTTTTATTGTTGGTCGACTGAAGGTCACTCGTGCGTTCGCATCACTCGGGACGCTATTGTTGAACTTCGCCGTCTTGCTTATAGATGTGTGTGTATGCGCGCGCTTGCAGCATCCATTCTGCTGCGTTCAGACAGTCAATCAATCAGTCATATTACTGCATAACACTCGACTTTGTCATAAGTGATACCTTCAAGTAAATGAGGTACAAAGAGGTTAAGGAGGTCAGCAATATAATTAGGAGTTGTAAGATGAAAAGGAGACAAACAAATGAATAGTGCCTCGGTAGTTTAACAGTGTTAGTACTCACCAGTCACACAGGAGTCTTGGGTTCGATTCCTGGTCGATGCACTCCTAAATCTCTCCCAGTTTACTGACAAATTGTAAACCGGGATGTAAGGCTAGCAGTCCATCTGCAAAAATAACAGCACTTTTATTACAACTGCATAGCCTGAAGCTATGTGCTCCTCTCGGAAAGCAAGGACTGGAAGAAAATTATGTATGTATTATCAGTGTATTCAAGAGATATTTGCTTGCGTTTCGTCTTACTTGAGACGCACCAACCGAATACAGCTGGACATCCCCAGTGAGTGATCTTGCTCTCACTGGGATTCGAACCTAGCACTTAACGTCGAGACTTTGTTGACTAATGGCACAATTCCTGTGCAAATGGGTATCAGTTGTCATTCTGTGGGACCATCTTGAATTTCCGGATTACAAATGAGTTCAATGCACAGAAATGTTAGTATTTATTCAGTGGTTTTGTTTTCTCTTCTTTTATAGGGACGCAGAATGAATCTAACCAGACGTGCGTATGATATGTGTGGAATATGCGTCGTTAGTAAACGTCTTGGCACTTGTCTTGTCTTCTCCTATATCTGCGTTAAGTTAATCACCATTATCAATGCTATCATGCAAGTGTACCTCATTCAACGTTTTCTCGGATTTTATTCTGATGGCAGCGCTGGTCAACGGAGTATGCAGCTTGGTAAACCATATGAAGCTAACGGGCAAGGTGAGTAATATAATACAGTCCTACAAAAAATATGATTTACCTAACCAACAAGAATAAGTAGACCACTCGACTGGTATTCAGTCGTATCCACTGGTCAATTTTGTGTATTTTGTGAAGTTCCACTGATCCCTTAGGAATTATTAAAATGTGACTGTAATGATTCCCATTTCATTACCAAAAGCTCTATTGGTTGCTGTATGCCAGTTTTCTACTTCTTAAGTATCTACCACAATAATTGAGTGATTTATTGACTGTAGCACTCGATTCCCAACGATCAAATTCTGGATCCCACTATATCTACTTAAGTCTAGTTGGCTTGATAGTGTCACTAGCCCTCACACAATAAATATGGTTTCATAGTCTGATATAGAAAGACTCTGCTCCGGTAGATATTATTATTATTGTTCCCTTGGGTTCCTAGTGGAACATAGGGCTTCAACTACACGTCTCCACCTCCTCCATACTGTTTCAACTCCTCTTCACACCATATCCTTCATGTCACCGTTGGACGTCCCACTCGAAGCTTCCCTTTGGGGTTCCACTCGAGATATGGCCTGACGCGCAATGTCACCCAACGGCCTCCTCAGCGAGTGTCCAATCCATCTCCACGTTCTCATGCATATTTGTTGGGCGATTGGTTCTTGTTTTGTTTGTTCCCATAGTTTCTTGTTGGTTCTTGTTCTTTCCGGCCATCTGGTCTTCAGTATAGAGCGAAGACAGTTGCTGTTGATAAAGGTCTGCAACAGGCTGTTGGAAATATTCTTTGTTACCCGCCGCCAAGTTTCTGATCCGTATAGAAGAACTGACTGACTTGACGTTTGTATTGAAAATCCGAATTTTGTTGTTGATGCAGGCTGAGTGACGAAGATTTCCAGATTGGTTTCAGGTTGATGAATGTGTTTCTCGCCTTCCCGGTAGATAAGTTCTAGCTAATGTGTACTAATTGAATTCACTTTATCCTGATGAAAATATAAGAGTGTGGTATTCCAGGAGCATGAAATTCAGACAGAGTTGATTTAAGGCGCTGACTGTACATACTAATGCTAGTTTGTTTATATTGATAATGTGTAGTAGTATCCATTCAACATTCGAATAAACCATCAACTAGTGTGTAGCTAATCTCATAAAAATGATAAGCTGAATAACTAAAACGTCAGACCTACATAGCACACTGTCAATTCAAAATTGTGCCGTCATATCATTAACTCCTTCTAGTATATTAGAGGACATCCAGTACTATAAACTGGCGTCCTAGTGTATATGTGTTTGATAATTGCAGAAAATGACACTATGGATTGTAATACTATAATCCGTTAAAAGAATGGTTCGAAACATAAGCCTATTGTCCCTTCATATTGGATTGGTTATTAAGAGGTCACTGTTTAAGTAATGTAACAGTTCATACATTATTATTCTTATTATTCCCTTGGGTTCCGAGTGGAACATAGGGCTTCAACAAAACATCTCCACTTTGTCCTATCGCCTACCATCCTCTTTAGCTTGGACCATGGTTGCCCACAATCTCTCATCACCATGTCACACTAGGACGACCAACTCGTCGCTTCCATTCGAGCCATGACCTGGCGCGCTATGTCATTCGACAGTCTCTTCAATGTATGCCCGACCCATCTCCAATTTCTCCTACATATTTGTTGAGTGATCGGCTCTTGGTTGGTTTGTTCCCAGCCAGGGTTTCTTGTTACTAACTCTTTCTGGCCTGCCGGCCAGCGAATTGGGCAGTTGTTGATAAAAGTCTGTAACTTGTTGGAGATGTCTCTCGGGACACGCTGGCCGAGTTTCTGACCCGTATAGAAGAAGTAGCTGACTTTACATCTGTGTTGAAAATCCGAATCTTGTTTTTTATTCTGCGGAGTGCAGTGCAAAAGATTTACAAACTGGTTTCAGGTTGGTGAAGGCGTATCTGGCGTATCTTACCTTTCCTGTTCTGGCCAGGTCTAACATGTTCATAGGTTCCGACTGGCCTTGGTTGAAACGATGATTCCTGGCCAGATAAGTGAAGGAGGCAACCTCTGTTAAATCTCCCCCCTTTGATGTTGATTGGTGCTGGTTGTTGTTGTTTTCATCGCTGTTGGTTGGTTGGCTGGTTATCTTCATCACCCCCGTCTTCCCTATGTTCACCGGGAGTCCTGTCTTCGCTATCAGTCTCTTCTGCCAGTTTGTTGGTTTTCGCCTGTAAGTCTTCGAGTTTGTGTGATATTACACATATTTTATCCACGCGCAAAATTCAGATCTTGTAAGAGTCATCTCATCGGTGGTCCAGCGTACTCCTGTCTCCTCGCTCCCAGCGCACAGTCTGACACAATCCAACCCACCACTATTAGGAAAATCATTGGTGATAATATGCAGGCAGTGTTACCTGACTCCTGTATTCACTTCGAACGCCTCGCTGTGTTTCCAGTTGTGGATCATCTGATACGTGGCAGGCGTTGTCATATAGCCATCTGTTGAATGAGGTTGATAAAGACCTGGGTACTCCTTGCTGTAGTGTTAAAGTATTTTCCAAATTACTTCTCGGTCTACGCTTTCTATTGAAGGCCTTTCCGAAGTCGATGAAGTTGAGGTAAAGGTCTGACTGCCATTCTATGCTTTGTTCTGTGATGACGATGCATAGAGTTGCAATTTGATCAGCACATGATGTGCCTTTTCTGAATCCAGCGTGTTCCGGGCGGAGTTTTGCATCCAGTACATCTTTCATTTCTTCCAGGATGATGCGACAAGCTCTTGCACAGGCCTAAGTCGCCTTCTTTGGCAGTTTGACGAGGTAGCCCTTCTTCCAATCAGTAGGCATATTCCCTTCCTTCCAAACTCTTTGCAGTAATGCAGTGAGAACATCTTCCGCAGTTTCTGGGTCCGTTTTCAGTGCCTGGGGGGGGGGTAATTCCGTCCTGTTCATCGGCAGTTGTGTGCGTGCTGTTAGTGGTGGTGGTATTTGTGTGCGAGTTGCAGCTAATGGTCGACTCAAGAGTCCTTTAAAGTGATCAGCCCGTTGTTTTAATTGTTTCTCCTCCTTGCTAATCATACATATTATGTCTTTAATACATAATCAATGTGAATTATGCAAATCATAAATGTACAACTTTCCTTCCATCTTTCTCTTCTTTACTCTATAGTTACGGCAATATCAAATCATGAGAATGAAGATTTAGAAGGTTTTGGATTCGGTTTAACAGTTGCTAATCATATACGCGCTGGACGTGATTGGCCGGAAACAATATTATTCCCACGTGTTGCCTATTGTCGTGTCCCAGGGATTCGATTAGTCGGTGCAGAGAATGCCTATACTGCTCAATGTGCCTTACCTATAAATATGTTAAATGAGAAGATCTACATCTTTTTCTGGTTCTGGATATGCTTTTTAATTGCAGCAAGTATTTTTAGCCTTGTATTATGGTTGATTCGAATGGTGATAGCACCAAGACGTAAAGATTTCATTAAACGTTTTCTACGCATTAAAGGAATACGCTCAAGAAGTGGCGCTGAAATAACACGAGCTGATTTAGATGAATTCATTGATGATTATCTACGACGTGATGGTGTCTTCCTTATTCGTATGCTGGCAATCAATGCAGGTGATGTTATCACATCGGAGATTGTTATGGCCCTATACGAACATTATATAGATAACATTTACTCAGTGGATAATTCACCACAGAAAAGCTTAGAAAAGGAACCATTGAAGGAGGGGTCGGGGATACCACCAAATTATGTGTAATTTTGAAGAAGACAAGCTGAAGCAGGGGGATATGTTTTATCTACTGTCTGTCATTGTATTTTTACTATTTCTACGCGGAAGAACAAACCTATGTGTTCATGGGTGTGGACTAACGTACTTCTATCAATAATAACACTTCCCATCGCACACCTCAATTCGTAATTTTATAAGAAGGCGATATCTACCGCCTACCATGTGTGTATGTTTGTGTGCCGTTATCATTTGCCTTTAATAACAAACTATTCGTCTTCCATTCCTCTTTTTTTATTCAATAAAAAATATAAATTACTCCATTTATACTCTCTGGATTTTTATTTGTTGTTTTTATATAATCATAGACAAATCTACTTCAATAATAATTCCATACTACCTATTTTTTAATACACAAAATTGATTTTTATCATTTATTTTTATTGTTCTTTTTTATATAAATATATTTTGAAGAGAACGTATCTATCTATAGTTGTGTGTTGTTCCTTGTCAAGCTTATTTTTAAAGACTGTCATCATAGTTTGTGTGTGTGTGTGTGGATGTGTGTCAATACTCAGAATTTCGATGTTCGTGTCTCCACTGGCTACTTTTTCGATACTGCCTTTTCTTTGTGCTCATTTCTTAAAACGATTTTATTTGTGTAGTATTAACAGTATTATTTTTTATTGTTACGATCATGCAACAGCAACAACTATAATACCACTACTACCATTATTATTGTTATTATTCTTTGTATCCCCCTCCCTCTGTTTTTCAATTGTATCTTATATTGATTAACCCCTGAACATTATTGTCAATTTTTGCAGTTTTACAATCTTGTGTAGTAGTAAAATAGGTCTTTTATCAATGGTCTTTATTTTTATCTGTTTCTATAGTAACGAAAACGTGGAGTGTTTTGAGCAGTTGTCGTCTGAACAGTGTTTGTAGATTCTATTGGATCGAAATATCCTGTTTTCTATTTGACTGAGACAACATGTCGATTCCCAGTTAAGGATACTTCGACGCAATGTCTGAGGGATTTTTAGTGGATGGTGGCTAGCAGTGGAATTGAGAATTGCGCATTTCGTCTTATCTTGAAGTCGTTGCACGAAAGATGGGCGGAGTGACCTAGTAGGGGAATAGAGCTTTGGTGTTTGAAATGACACGTTCTAGGTGCACTAGAGACTGCAGTTGCATCCAGATGATGAGTCTTTTAGCTAGAACTACTAATCCCCGTCTACCGAATGACATGCTACATTTCCCCTCAATACTGTCTGCGTTAACCAAGGTATTAGCC